CGTGACCCACTACGACAATTGGTAATAACAGAGACGTGGCCCACAACGACAATTGGTAATAACAGAGACGTGGCCCATTACGACAATTGGTAATAACAGAGACGTGACACACTACGACAATTGGTAATAACAGAGACGTGACCCACTACGACAATTGGTAATAACAGAGACGTGGCCCACAACGACAATTGGTAATAACAGAGACGTGACCCACTACGACAATTGGTAATAACAGAGACGTGACCCACTACGACAATTGGTAATAACAGAGACGTGGCCCACAACGACAATTGGTAATAACAGAGACGTGGCCCATTACGACAATTGGTAATAACAGAGACGTGACCCATTACGACAATTGGTAGTAACAGAGACATGGCCCATAACGACAATTGGTAACAACAGAGACGTGACCCATTATGAAAATTGGTAATAACAGAGACGTGACCCACAACGACAATTGGTAATAACAGAGACGTGGCCCACAACAACAATTGGTAATAACAGAGACGTGACCCATTACGGCAATTGATAATAACAAAGATGTGGCCCACTACGACAATTGATAATAACAGAGACATGGCCCATAACGACAATTGGTAACAACAGAGACGTGACCCATTATGACAATTGATAATAACAGAGACGTGACCCATTATGACAATTGGTAATAACAGAGACGTGACCCATTATGACAATTGGTAATAACAGAGACGTGACCCATTACGACAATTGGTAATAACAGAGACGTGACCCATTACGATAATTGGTAATAACAGAGACGTGGCCCATTACGACAATTAGTAATAACAGAGACGTGACCCACAACGACAATTAGTAATAACAGATACGTGGCCCACAACGACAATTGGTAATAACAGAGACGTGACCCATTACGACAATTGGTAATAACAGAGACGTGACCCACAACGACAATTGGTAATAACAGAGACGTGGCCCACAACGACAATTGGTAATAACAGAGACGTGACCCACAACGACAATTGGTAATAACAGAGACGTGGCCCATTACGACAATTGGTAATAACAGAGACATTGCCCATAACGACAATTGATACTAACTGAGACGTGACCCACTACGTGA